CCTGTTATATAATTTTTTTAGTTTGTTGACATAGTCCTTGTTCAGACAGCTTCCAACAGATGCACCATAAGAAAATCAGACAATCTGTTGTATTGCTGTAGGTCCCAACTTGGCTTTCAATTGTTGGACAAAGGCAACCATGAATGTATACACCGCATGATAGTCATGTTTCCTGTCGGATGTGATGAATACCAAGGACTCTGCCATTGTTTCGGGCCAGTTGGGGCATACATAGTAGCAAACAACAGGATGCAGTATTGCAGTGGAGTGGTTCCAGTGTGCAGACTGAATTTCATTTTGTGCCGCACACACAAAAGTTTCTGCAAAGTCATGCACCATGAGTACCCATCCAGATGGAATGCTAGCTCGTAAGCTGGAGAACTGCTCATTTTGCCAACTTACATTGAACAGATGCTGAGAGAGAGGGAGTGAACTTCTTGTTTCAGTTCTTTCAGGCTATCACTTACACTGCCTTACTTGTTCACCAATTGTTGCTTGACATCTTTGCCTTTGACCTCTTCTGTTGTTTTCTCCCACTTGCGCCATGTCATGGGCTTGTTTTTGTGTTGCTGGAGAGGTTCCTCCACATGGAAATCCAATTTGTCAGTGCCACAATTTTGCATTTTCTTTCAATGCAAGTACGCTTATGGTACTTCTTGCCATTTTCTTTTGGGAACATAATTGTGTGTGATGCTCCATGAACCCCCTGGAAAAGGGATTGCTGCTTATGAGAATGAGCAATTTTGTTCAGTGCATCAATTTGGAGATCAGCATCACAGCAATATTCACACATACACCTTCGACATTTAATGGCACTGACTGGCTTAACATGCTGTGGACGAAGAGCATAAAACTTCTTCAGCCCCATTTTAGCAGTGGGGTGTTTTGCTTTGAACTGACTGTATAGAAGTGTCATGGGTTGTTGCAGAAAGCCTGTCTTTTTTTAGTGTCTTCTTCGAGATTAATTTTTTGTCAGGGAGTTGAAGTGCACTATCTTCATAGAACTTTATTACATCTTGTTTGACTTTGTTTGAGACTGCTCGCTTGTGCACTGCCCTCAGTGTGGTCTTCGCTTTTTTGATGGCCGATGAAGTTGTTCCGAATGTCTACAGGCCTTGACCTGCAACTTGTACTTTTTCGAATTCGAAAAGACGCTTTCTGGACAAGTCATCTTTATTTCAACCCCTCTTTACTGACTTAAGATACTTTGCCATTGACTTGGAGAAATTTGGTGCAACTTCTTGTCTTCTGCAGCAATTCTGTGGACTTCCAGTGCTGCCTTTTCCTCGGATTGGCCCTATCAAGGGTTTTATCAATGGCCTTTACAGGCCATTGATAAAACTACTTTGTCTATGGTCAGAATAGCCACATCAGCGATAGCAAAGAAACCGTTCACATGTGATATATGTCTGTGGTGGTAGTCAGCAGTCAGCACCTTTTTCTATGTTTTTTGGGTATGTTTTGATTACCACAATGTCTGCAAGAAACTGCAAGACATCTCAGTGTGCACGTCCATTGACGGCTGGAGGTCCACAATGAGCCCATTGTATGTGTAGCGGTGTCAACTCCAGAGGGAGTCATACTTAGTTGATACAGTGTATACTTCAGGGCACAGCCACACTTCAGACTACCTACAGGAGCTTGCAAGAGAAACCATCAGCAAGTGCGAGAGAAACTTTGGGTGCATGGTGCGCAGATAATGCTGCAAACATGGCAAAAATGCGCAGAGAACTGACTCGAGAAGACAAGAGCATTGTGACATATGGGTGTGCTTGCGCACATCCTCAACCTACTTGCCCAAGATGTTGCAGTGAAAGGAGTAAAGGAACATATTGTACAGTACTTCCACAATGTTCATTTGCCTCTTGCGTCTGCACCAGTTCTTGAAGCTCCAAATTTTGATAAACGGATGCCAGTGATGTTGGAATAGGTTCAGTACTCATGCAGGAAGATGATTGTGGAATTATGCATCCAATCTGTTACTTCTCGAAAAGGTTGAACCGTCATCAGACGAAGTACTCCACAGTCGAGAAAGAAACTTTGGCATTAGTTCTGTCCTTGGAACATTTTGAAGGGTATTTGGAGTCAGTAACCAAACCAGTTTTAGTATATACAGATCACAACCCTTTGACTTTTCTAAACAGGATGAAAAATAAGAATCAAAGGTTGTTAAGATGGAGTCTGGCTCTTCAGGAATTTGCTCTTGAGATCCGTCATATAAAAGGGAAAGATAACGTTATTGCGGACACATTATCTAGGTGTTACTAATTAGTTTCAGTGACAGGCCAAGAGCTAATCAGATATTACTGTAATGAGATTGAGTATTTTATGTGATTTTGCTATGTCAATGTCAAAAAGAAGTTAATACATTGACCAAAATTTGAATAGCATTGATGACCATGTACATTTATACTTTTTATAAACTTCTACAACGTGTTAGTTATACCAAAAGAAAAGTTTTCCCTGTGGATCAAACTTTTTTTAAGGAGGGGAGAGTGTTACGATCCCAGTTGATCCAAATCCTTTTGTGTCTCCCTGAAAAGGTACATGTGGAATTTACGCATGTTCCAAAAACCTATAAAAGACTCCGTAGTCATTGATTTCGCTCTCAGTCAGTGCCTATATGCTTTTAGCATGTGCGTTCTGAAATAGCCGGCATTGGGTTGGGCTGACACCGCTGAGGGACCGTGGACCCTGGAGTGTCGTGGCTCCATGTGGAAGCTGAATCTCGGGGATCGACACTGGAACTGGGCTGTTCTGGCGCGGAGTGCGGAGGTGCTTGGCCCGACGACCGCGCTCTTTTAGGCATGGCACTGACTGGGCGGGGCCTAATTTTCTTCCTCTCTTGTGTTGGCTCCTTAAGGTAATTATACTCGGCCGAATATAATTTGCCACTTTGCATATTAATATGTTTTTGCCGGCTTGCTAATTTTCAGTGTAATTAATTGTGTTTGGCTGTGCTAATGTAAATAATTTCCTTTTATGCTTTTGACTTTTCAAATTCACGATGTTCTTGCATGAGAAGTTTAAGTTGCAGCAAACCACTAGATTTACTTTGTTTTAATTTACTGCTTGCTGATTTAAGCTAATAATTAAATGTTATTCCAAATTAGTTCCCTTATTGTCCTTTGCTCGTATGTTTTAGTGTCCTGGTTCCCGTCTTTTGATTTTTCTTCTGCCGTGCATTCTCTGCACATAACACTTGGTACAGAGAAGCTGGAGGGAAGGCACTTGTTATGCCCAAAGGAATCAGATGGAACACATTGGCAGACTGCCTTTCCAGCTACATTTACCTGGAGGAATGGCCTGTCATCCTCAAAGTGTGTGAAGAACATTGGGATGGAATTGATCAAAACATCATGAGTAAAGTGCAGAACATTGGTATAAAACGGACTTGCATGCTCGTCTGAAACCCATAGCTGTTGCATTGGACCAGGTTCAGAGCAATTCCTGCATGATAAGTGAAGCCGTAGATGTGTGGCAACAACTCATGAAAGACATGAATGATTCAAACCGACCAGAAGATGTGATAAAGAAGGTGAAGGAGAGATCTGCAAAGTAACTCACACCAGCCCACTATCTTACCAATATTTCTCGATACAAGGTTCATGGGAAGAGACTTAGGCTTGGCTTCAAAATTGACCGTTTGCGAAGTCAGTGAACGTTCATGAACTAAGTTAATCCTTAGTTACCAGTGGAGAAGGAGCTTAGCAGGTTCATTTGGATCACATGACAATGGCTTTTGTTATGGTAATTTTATGTTAAGTAGATTACTGTTGCCAAGTTCATGAAGTACCCATTCCGATCATCCACGAAGTGCGCAAAGCCAGTTTCAATGGCTATACCGAATTTTCCCATGTGTCGGCACTTTGTAAAAGCAAAGAACGTAATTATTATGTTGGATGCTTTATTCCGAGTATTTCCCTGAAGGGTTTCTTTGTGTGTATGTTTGAAAGGTGGCAAATTTGCCATAATGGGAAGTGTATACGTTATTACATGTACTAAATGTGGCACGGTTTGATTTTCCCCCGGTAAAGCAATATTTTCACCCCAAATTTCACAGATTAATTACATCATTCATCAAGCTCTAAACATTGCCTTTCATACATTTGGAATTTAAGTACGTGGTACAAAGTTCTAGAGGAGTTTTATTTTGTCGCTATTGTCATACTTTATTTTGAAGTCCACAACAATCCTTTTTAAAATCCACTAAAAAATAAAATAATTTTCTTACAAACTTGTACTCACGCGTAGAGATAAAAAGTATTGTACAAAATTTATTGACTTTAAAGAAATTCTTTAATGCGTATGTGGGGTTTTCTGTGATCCTCTCATTGTGCCACGTTAGGGAACACTAAAATGAATTTGTTGAAAGAAACTGAAACTCTCCATGAAGGATTCACGGCATGTGTTTTAATGGTAAGATAACCAGTGTTTAACTGCATGAGGTTTTGCAATAATGTCCAAGGAAATCCGAGGCAAAGGTCGAAGTGTGTCACGTTTATGGAACACCACTTTACATGTACATCAAAATAGTCACACTTTTTTTGTGGCGAACCTTTTTGACTTTTAAATGCCAATGGCTATTTACTGAACAAGCTGCCAACTCAAGTTGGCCCTTAATGCTGTCAGATGATTGATCAGCGCGACAATCCATGCATCCCGACAATCGTAGGACCGTCGTAGCCCCAGCCAGCTGTACGTGAACACGTATGCCGATACAGGGTTTTAGCAGCTGATTGCCTTGTTTATTATGCATGTATGAAAATCATTGGGGTTTTTTTGGTTGATTTTTCATTGTCGAAATTCTTTTGTGGTGGTTAGGGTTTTGATAATCGGCCGGTTTGTACTCGGCGCGAAAGTGTTTGCAAATGCGAATTTATGAGACACTGCTAATTTGCAGAAGTATAGCACATTTAAATTCCGGCAAATTTCACAGCAAATTGCTTCGCGATGTCCACTTCGCATTGCATAAACTGTAAACAGGCCATAATATTTTTCGATTGTTTAGTATAGCGTGTGTACATGTACATGTAGGCAATAAAATTGCCGTCTTTTTCGTGTGTTGAATCTCAATCTTCATGGACGGCAGCCAGCAAACGTGAGTTTCGTGAGAACCCATTTTCAACTGACAGATGTTTGCATTTTAATAATCACAGATAATAATAACACAATCCGAAGTTTACATCATGCTTCTGCGACGCAGATGCTGAATTTATCACTTTGTTCTGACTTACATTTTTTTCATTGTAGGACCACGATTAAGAACTGCTGATTTGATGTCAGTACTGAACTCACAGCATCAGAGAATTGGATGAAGCTACATGTACATGTACTCAGTTGTGGTGTTGAAGAGTAAAAATATGTCAACCATTTCCGGGACCAGTCAAACCACAAAATGTCATCTGTGTTGAAAAGTCTTGTGGGGTTAATGTGCATCGTAAGTCCTACATCAAAAATAAATGGCTGGGCAAGATAGGATATTGTGCAGCAGTGCAGTATGTTATGTAACGGAACATCAAAAAGAGATCGACTAAAATAAGTTCTGAATTGTTACTATAACCACGTGTGGAATTTGTAGTCAATAGCTTTGGAATAGCTTTTTTGAATCTGTATAATATTGAGCTGGAGACTATGCCAAAGTGCTATTATTAACCATTATTACCTGTTATGGATCCCAATCCCAACCACTTCACAATATGTTGAATTTGTATGGATTTGAATGTACCTTCAGTGTACATTCCAGCAGGGGCGGTGGAACAGATAGCTTGGACATTGAATTGGGTGGAAGCTATTATAAGTGGACATTGGTTTGCCCTCTCATCTTCTTTGTCCACTCAATCTTTCCGCCGCCACTACATTCCTATGCATGTGGCAACATATAAAGGTTGTAGGGGGCTAACTTTTTGAATATCACTGCAGCTCACATGCAGTCGGGTGGGGATTTGAATCGGCTTCCCCTAGCAAAGTGCCCAGACTGGTCCTGGTCTTACATTTTGAGTGATTGGGGTTTTCTATGTTTTTCAATTGTTTCAGTGTGCTCCACGAGCTGTCGGTAACATGTTGGAAACTGCTTGTGTCTTGTGATAATGTGACTGTGAACATAATTATAAAGCTCTGTTGGATATTAAGTGCCTTTTGGGGAATCCCAGCCCTCCTATAAGTATATGCATTCGTAACACCTGGTTAGTCAAAGAGCACTGTATGATTTACCGAAAATTGGTCACTTGGGAGACATTCCCATAAGAACGTGCAAAAACTTTACTGTCCCATTATTCTCCAACTCTATGTGCACAAA